GGCTGCTGTGAGTCACTGATGTCAGTGTTATCATACAGCAGAAGAAGCCGGTGGCAGAATAGCTAATTTCTAGGAAACTGCAGTAAAACGTACAGTGGAACTCGCACAGTATATGAAATGACATGAAGCCTATCTCCTTTTCTCCTGCAGCCATTAGAAATAAATGGATCTTATGATGAGCTTTTGTGGGATATAGAACACATGCTACGTGTTCGGCTCTCAGAACAAATCACTTTTATTGTTTGGCCTCTTTTACCAACAGGGCAGATTTAATTGTAATCAAACAAGCTCAATAAAATAGATCATAACCGCCCCCTCAAATATAATACAGAAAAAAAATGTGATTCATTTTGCTCCCACAATGCCGTTTTGTAGTCTTCAGTTACCAAGCCTCTCTCTTTCCAAATGATCTACCAGCGACGGCCCAGGAGGACCATCACTACCCGACCCTCAGAAGGAAAGTCTTAAAACTGTCAAAGTTCATATTTAGAGCTGAAGTTGGACAAACCTTATACTAATGTTGATATATGCTAAGACCTCAGGGGGACTCAATACACCAAGCTATTGTCTCTCACTTGGTCTCAATCTTTCTGTCTGTCTCTTTCATGTTGCACAATAAGCTTAAACACTCCAATCAAGGAAATCAATAGTTAGTCTACTCTAACTACAAACGGTTCTGTTACAATCAACAATATGATCTCTCTTCTGACATATTGGTTTTCATCAAGAATCATTTGCTCATGAAATACTCACAAATCAAACTGTGAGGTAGAATTTTCCATAGCTGTGTAGATCTTCTCCCGATAATCATAACACAATAGGCTTCCACACAATAAAATGCTTTGGGGTGCCACTGAGAGTAGCTACAATGTTTCACATGTGCTATAGTTTTAAGAGCTTTCTGCTGTTTGCACTTTGATTGGCTAATATGGGGACATCGCCTGCTGTCTATGTTCAGGCCAGGAAAAACTGAGTGCACAAACAGATGGGCGGTTTTGCAAGCAAACGACTTGAATAAAACCACTCTGACCGTGTTTAAGACCCAATTAAACCCAAATCGTTTCATGTTGCATGCCTCAATCAAAAATATGGGTTGGAATGAATGAGAATAGGACCGTCTGTTGTTGGACAACAATGACACCCAAATGCTGTATTGTGATGAATACCTCAGTGTTCAGATGTGCTTTAGTTATGTAAATTTCATCTGAAGCATTGTTCCCAATTAGCTAATTATGGCATGTTTATCTGGAGAAAGGTAAATCACATCTTTTTTCATCTAATTGATTGTTTTTGGCACTGCTATTATCCTGCCCCACCATATCAGAGACAGATAACCTCTAAACCACCTGTTCCTTATGCAACAGAGGATATTAAACTACAACTATGAGGAACTGCCATGGACAGGTACATTGATATATCACCCTCTAGTGGACATTTGCTGCCATGCCTTGTTCATACAGCTCAGCATAGCGTTTTATAATCCATGAAACACAAAGTAAGCTTAAATTGTGTTTAAGCTAATGTCTTTCCTATGAGCCTGTAGCTTAGATCTTAAATAGATCTAACTTACATGGATACATTGGATGTGCTGCTATTGCAAAATACATAGGGATATAAAATACAAAAATGTATCTTGTACTATTAAGAGTTAAAAGTGTCTGGGGCTAACATGCATGTGTAATCCGATCACAAGTGGACAGCTTTAAGTATGGATATTAACAATTTTCAGAACTTGACTTGAAAGATAAAAACAAATAAGAGACTTAACGACAAGCCCTGTAAAATGAGACCACCAGAGGCAATGTCATCAGATTATAAAATCTCTAAACAATGTTTTTCTGTTTCACTTCATTTTCCAGAATAAAAAAGATCTGGATAATAACACTGAGCCCTGAGGAGCCACTTGACTTGAAATAACCTCATCAGAGAAACACTCTTCACCCCCCTGTCTGTGCTTAAGAGCCTTTTGACCCAGAGGACACTCAAGATTTAAATTTACCTCCAAAGGAGACTCATCAAAAACAACACGATTATACTATTCCAATGACATTAACCATTTTCATTGGTAATTATTCTGATTGTTTTCCATACAAAGGCACTCTGTGGAGTTTTATTTTTTTGCACTCGGCCAATCCATTTTCCTGCCAGTGATTTCTCACTATTCCACTCTTCAAAACGTGGAGATTATGTTCAAAGAAGTGTGAAACATTCTTACAAAGGCAGTAAACAACAAAACTCAGTGACTCAACATGGATGTAACAAAGCAGGTCATCTGTTTCGGACATTTAGAAGAAAAAAATGTAACAACTAAAACAATGTCTTTTTGTGTGTTCGGTACCTCTGATCTGTCAACAAGTCAATAATATTCCATGCTGGAAAATTGTAGAAAAAAAGGCAATTGCAATTCTCCAGATTCAGGACATATCAGAAACTGGTTCCAGAATATGCTGCTTCTACTTAAAGAAATCTTTAACGCAGAATTAACTTTCAAAACAGTTTCTTTTTAACTTTCAGTCAGTCCTCTATATTATTTAATAATTGTTTCAGCTCTGTGTAAGAAACTAATGATAGTACTTTGGTACATGATCATGATTTCTGCCACAATATAGTGCAATTTGCTGAACCTCCACAAGATGGCAGCACAGATCATAACATGACTTCATTCCAAATGAATTCCAGGTATGCTTTGGTGAGCAAAGATAGCAGTTAAAAATACCAGCCTCATAACAATCATTAACATTCATCACTGAACTATGATCAACACAATACCTGACATTCCTCCAGTGATTTGTGTTATGAAATAAATCAGGTCAAAGAGTGGTTTAAACTGAGGTTGTTTCCATTGCATCAGTGGAGTGGTGTCCTGAGCCAAAGAGTTCCAGGAAGAAACAAAAAAACTTAAATCACCTCAGACTGAAGTAGGTGCTTTTCTATCAACTCTCACATCTGCTTCTTTACTTCCTGATCAGGAAAAACAGAGCAGGTGAGACCTACGCTCCAGGTATACTGTAATGTATTTAATCTGTTAATATATCTTAAATAATCTGAAACATCCCCTAAAACACCAGAGTATACCCTCCCCCTACTGCTGGGTTTTCAATATCAAACAAGGTCATGGAGACTCAGGTTAATATCTGATGACGCTCCAGTGTGTGACATCAATTCAAGAGGGAGAACACGTCATGAGGAAGTGTGTGAAGTGTTTTTTCTTTTTTTTTTAAACTCTATGTGGTCGGGAAAACTAGAATAATCCCAGATCACAGGAGAGGTTAGAATAAACATTTGTGGCCAAGAGTCATGATGACATCACAGAGATAAACATTGTACCTGAGTATGTTTCCTGATCTCATTTTACTCCTCACCACAACACACCTCTGTTTAAATAATAACTTTCCCTTTCAGCCAACATAACTTTTTAAAGCATAGTTTTCTTTAAATATGTAAAATATGCTCAGTCAATGTCTTGCTGAATGTTACTTGTCTCTCTGTAAATTACAAGTTAAAAATGAGCTGGTAGGTGAAGGCTATGTCAGTGCAGTTTTTGTGTGTTCACTCCTTTCTTCAAGTTTAAGTCTGAACCATGTGTCTGGTCTGTCTTCTTTCATTCATTCAGAAAAATGCCAGGACACAGAAACTTGATACTCGACTACAGTGCAGAACTTCATGAAACTGAAATAGCTAAATACGGGCAAAGCAATATGTCAATTATGGATATTGTGACACAAAGTTACGAAGTTCTTTGTGTCACAAGTTGCTGTGCTGCCTCTTGTTATATTGTCACATAAACAAAGGTGTAAAGCGTATTGGAACGTCAGTGTCACCTTTAAGATAGCTGCTTTTATGCTAGCTAATCCAAGTTATATGGGCCAGTTTCGATTAGCTAGCATAAAAGCTGTTTGACACTTACTTGAAGCCATATTATTATTTGTCTTCAAGTAAGTGTAAAACAGTGTTTGCTGACTTCTAATGGAAGAGTTGGCAAAATGTAAGTAAGCACATTTATCAAAATATTTGACTATTTGCTTATCATGTTATCTTGTAAGCCCTGAATGATCGACCTTTTTGTGTACACAAAAATAGAACTTTCTCAGATCAAACCCACAACCACCTCCCTTATCAAACAAGCGCGCACACACACACACACACACACACACACACACACACACACACACACACACACACACACACACACACACACACACACACACACACACACGCCTACTTTCTTGGGGCCTTGTTGTCATCCCCGGAGGATCCCAGCTCAAATGTGTTAAGCAATACTTGGTTTGGCAGCTACCCAGCAACTGAGACACTCCAGTTACCCTGATGATACCTAATCTGACTCTTGAACTCACACACACACACACACACACACACACACACACACACACACACACACACACACACACACACACACATACACACACAAAGGTAGACATGCAGGCAGGTATGCACATGATCACGCACGCAACGCTTACGCAAGCCCCGGCCAGCTCCGCCTGGGGTAGTCATAATACACAGTCGATGAAGACACACCATGCTCTTATAGGTCAAACGATGATTCATCGGCTTAAATAAAGAAGAATATTTCAGTTCAAATAGTGCAGGTGTTCAGTGTTTGAAAAGCTGACCTCCAGTTCCACCGCTTAGCGCTAAGGCTGAGAAAGAAAAAGGGACAAGAGTGGCTTGTACACTCCCCCTGGTGTTTTCCAGGAAAAGACACTGACCCACTATTGACATTTGAGTGTTTGAAGAGTTAAATGTTACATTTCGCAAAGGTCAGAGAAGAGTAAACGGTTGGAGGCAGAGATGGAGAGAGAGGTTTTCCCTCTTGCAGGGATGAAATTTAAAGCGGTGAGGAAAATGAGAAAGTGTACTGTTACCCTCACAGCCATAAAGAGGTGTGTGGAGAAAGTCTCTGCAGGAAAACCCTTCGAGGCATAGAGTTTAGCTGTGCAATGTGAGAAAAACAAGTAGCACCAATGAAAAACACATCCATATGAATATGAAAAAAGTGATCTTTATTTAACATCTCCACACATATTTCAAATATACATATTTACATCTCTTCTACAATGAATAGATCTCTTTTGTGTAACCTGATGGGACTAATAACAGCCTCTAGGTTGTGTCACAAATACATAATTCACAGTGCAATACGAAGTTTGTGCACCCGTGTCAATTTACTCTACATGTCACATGAATGTGTGACTTACTTTACATGTATGAACAAAACCATTAAATTACTTCTCTGCGAGGAGCAATTCAGATTGTCACGACTCTGTTAACAGCTCAAGCAGATGAGAGAAATAATTAAAGAACCGCAACAGACGTTTTGTTAACCTTCTGCACAACCAAAAAAAAATTGAACAAGACCTTCTCAGATATGCCAGATTTAGTACCGTCGTCAAAAAAATTGTGCCAGAATGAAAGAGCGGGCTGCAGACTGTAAGGCTAAATGTCGCTTCATGCACCTGTCACTATCCAAGATAAAACATGATACATCATGTCGCTAACTGATGACTAGACTCCATGGATGCACAGTGCACAGTGGAAAAACAAAGGAGGGAAATAAGATACCATTAAAAAAGAGGAAAATGTCCGAACAGATTCTTCCAGCCAAGGTCAGGACCATTCCCCACAGACACGCTAAAGTGGTGAGTCATCATCAGACATCCAACATCAAACATCGCCTGACTGCGACTGATTCAGAGCTGCTCCGTTTATGAAACACAGTGATACAGGCATAACACTCAGCACAGCTCAGCTTTGTTAAAGCAACAAGGCTTGACATAATGTTCCAACAGAAGTGGAAGAAAAAAAAAGAAGTTCAACTCCTCAACTGAGAAAGTCTTCATTTTTTCTGTCATCTTCTGCTTGCTTAACTGGATACTTGGTGCTTTTGTTCGGGTTTATTAGTTTACTCTTATTGCATTAATAGGAAGTACTACTTGAATTCTTGTGTTTCTTATTTTTTTTAGCTTTTTGTTTCTGAAATCCTCTGAGGTAAAAAATGACCATCTCTCTTGCTTGAAAAAAATGAGAACTTCCAGAGTTTGATTTAAAAAAACAGAAACACCTTAGTGTTAGCCGTTAGCTGAAATTTGCACAAGAGCCAAACAGATGAATCATTGTTCTACTTGCAATGTCCAAAATCCCTTCCTGTGCACATGTATCTTTCATGATATTCTGCTGCTAGCACGTTTTGAAAACCTTTTTCTTTTTTTTTTTTTTAGATCTAAGTGTAAAAAAATGACAACGTTTTGGAAATGTACTTTTCTGTTAGCCTTATACAAAGACTTGAGTTAGCTCATTGTCACAGCTTATTGTTCAGTGTGTGTGAAAAACTCTCCTCCTGTCTGTGCGAGTCTTAACACCAGTAACACCCTGCATCCCTCAAACCTTCTGCGCATTCTGTGTGATTTGTAAATGCTGAGTAGTTGCCAGATTGGCAGTGAAACATCTTGGTAGCGTCCCCGCTGAGTATGACACATCAGTCCTCTGCTAACCATCTTTCTCACTTGACGACAACTCCCGCTGCCAGACTTGTAGCTTGTGCTCGGCCTTCCTCGAGCCCGTGTGGCGGTGAGTCAGCTGGTGAAGCCTGCAGCCTGGTCTGAGAGTGAGAGGAACAACATCCCTGTCTCATCCCCGCCCGGTCAGGAGTCTTGTAATGCTTTCTGAAGAGTCCAGGCTGAGAGCTAGAACTGTGACTACTGTATACAATGAGTTCTGTCATATACTCACAGCAGCCTGCAGACGTTATATGGTAATCTGTGAACGTAATCTGGCAAATTCTGAGTCTTTGTTATGTCTTTTAGCACCAAATAATTTTGAAAAACATACATATAGAGACACAATGAATGATCATTGTGAAGAATGCCCTTAGCAAGTAACACATATACGACAACAAAATACAGTACAGTAGGATTTGTAGAAAGCTTGAGGGTGTATGTACACTCCACAGTACACAAATGGGTTTCAAAAAAGTGCCAATGTAAAAAAAAAAACAACAACCACTATGACTCCCTCATAGCATTTCTTGTTTCGGTCCCTCAGCCAGACTCAGCTGATTCTAATCTGTCAGCAGAACAGATCATCATCCTCTTCCACGTCAAAGGATGGCACCATCTGTTCCGCCGAGCTCACTTCCTGTTCACCTAGCGCCACTTCCTGCGAGGACTGCGCCTGGCGGAACCACGGGTGAGCTAGCAGCTCTGTGGCCGTGAGTCTCTCCCAGGGTTCTTTCCTCAGCAGGCTCTGGAGTAGACACTTGGCCTTTGGCGACAGGCCTTCTGGCAAGCAGCACTGGCCTCTGCGGATTTTGGAAAACAGCGTGGCTGGGTCTGGGTCGTGGAACGGGTAGCGGCCTACCAGCATGGTGTACAGCATGACTCCAAGGCTCCACATGTCTGCCATCTTCCCGGAGTAAGGCGCAGAGCTGCTGAGGATCTCCGGGCTGACGTAGGCGGGGCAGCCATGGGTGTCTGACATGGAGTCGTCCTTTGGGTCTTCTAGGACGCGGCAGTCCTCCAGGCTTTCTAGTCTCACTTGTGTCCTGTGAAGAAAACGGCAAAACAAGGTCAGGACTTTCACAGCTCCTTTAAGACAAAACTCAGGACATCAGAGAAATGTGCAAACAACTCAACCCCTCATATGCAACACTTAACAAGCAGGACTTGGCTTTGCTTTAAATACCTCAACTGAACATGCCTGTCTAATGTCTAGAGGTAGACATAATTCAATGATGTTGGAAAAAGCCCGCTCAGAGGCCCTTTTCTTTCTGACCTCGAGGACACACAAAATGACCAATCCACTGGGAACTCAGTGTCCTTGCAGGCGCACACAAGTACAGTGATGCACTGCCATTTTTTTTATTTGATAGGTTAGCTGTGCATAAAATCAACAGGCACCAGTGACTGCTTTAAGATGTGATGTTTAATGACATCATCTGTAAACCTACAGAGAAAGCAACTTTACTTATCGAGGTGAAACCTGAGAACTAAACGTTCTCACCATCCAAATCAGCGTTACACAAATGGAATATTATCTTCAGAATATCATGTTCTTGTCAGAAATTATGCTCTCAGAGTTCCAATGTTTAAAGTGCAAGTACACCACCGCGTTTGTGTGCGTGTGTGTGTGTGTGTGTGTGTGTGTGTGTGTGTGTGTGTGTGTGTGTGTGCGTGCGTGCGTGCGTGTGTGTGTGTGTGTGTGTGTGTGTGTGTGTATGTAAGCAAGTCTATTTCTGACGGTGGCTTTGTAGAACACTGTCAAACATTTTAGAGACCTGTTATGTGTAAGACACTGATTGCGTCATGGAAAAGCTAGCATCTAAGCCTTAAGCTACAGATGGACAGTAACACACACACACACACATATACACACACACACACACACACACACACACACAGACACACACACACACACACACACACACACACACACACACACACACACACAAAATACAGATAAATACAACATACACGCACCAGACATCTGTGAACTTACTGTGACCTTCATGCACAAAACTGAATCTCATTCGTGAAGCTGCCTAAGCAAATTTCCCGGCGCACACATGGGCTCATAAACATGCATATAAAAACAGAACTACAGCACCCTCCTAACACACACACTATGCTATATTTAGCCATGTAAATGAAAGGACACACATTACGACCAGCACCAGAGAAGCTAAGATTGTGAGTGATAATTTGTAGAAAAATATTCAAGAATTAAATGATTGACGAGATAAGATAAAACAGCATACGATGGGAAATGTTTTCTAAAGGCAGAAATGACCACTAAATCATTTCAAAAGTTATCAATATTCTACAGCAGCAGACGTACTTTGTTTTTAATCAAAATTTCATTTGTACCTCCCTGGATTTGCTCCCACATTGAACACTGTTTTCCCCCCCCCGAGTCAAACACACTTGAGAAGTGTGCTGTGTCATGTCACATTCAGAGGGTCGACCCTCTGCGTGAGACACTTCACTCATCTGACAGAGCGGCTTGAGAGAGGATTCGACAGCCCGAGACAGAGGAGGATGACAAGAGAGACAGGCAGGAGATACAAAGCAACAGATATTTAAACACAGAGATAGTGGAGGAGATAAGCCAGGAAAGGAGAATGTGATCGCTGGAGACAGAAAAAGAAACAGAACAGAGAGAGTAAGTGGGGTGGAGAGAGTGACTCATCCTTCTGCTGAGAGTACATATCTTCTCTCTCTCTCTTTCTCTCTCTCTCTCTCTTTCTCGAGCTGAGGCTATCTGCACCTGGGTCCCACACTCGCGGCGCCAGCCATCCCATAATTATCCTCAAATGGCTGTTGCCACATCAGTGACGCACGGGAAGGCCGGCCCTGCGTGAAGCTCCGCATGCTTCATGGTGCTAGTCACCTTCCCTAACTGCACTGCCTGTGATTGCATTTCTGTATATGTGTGTGTGTGTGTGTGTGTGTGTGTGTGTGTGTGTGTGTGTGTGTGTGTGTGTGTGTGTGTGTGTGAGCGGGGACAGCGTTTGTCAAATTGTTGTGACTTTCTCACCCTCTGGCTCGAGCGCTGCTTTGTCGGGGCTGGGACATTACATCACAATGCAATTGTCCTGGTTTGAAAAGACGTCTGATTGTGGATTTAGAAGAATGTGTGACGGGATGTATCAGGTGATACCAAGTGAAAAACATTATAAGGAGACTTGTGTATGTTTTTTTTTGGATATGACGAGCCACGTTCCATGATATCCAACAGACACTTAAAACTACCAGAAGAATTTTCAGCTTTTGCTTTTACAGTCACATCAAAGTAAGACCATTTAAGGAGGCACTGTTTCATGTTGACGGGGTGGATGTAAAGAGGAGTTAGTGTAAAATACAACATGTCATCCTGCAACACCAGGGTCAAATGGGTCAGTCTAACAGCATCAGTGTTGCTAAGCTGTCACCCAGCTGAGAAAATACTGAACTACTCATAAAAAAAGGGCATTTGAGCTTGCAAGGTGGAAGAGCTTTGCCTCTTTGAATGTGTAATCAGCACATACACAAATATGCAAACATACACACACAAACACAAAGGAAGAAAATGAGCTAAGCAGCCTCCCCCCCCCATTCCCCTCTGCACATATACACTGTGACTCATCGCTCTGCAGCCGTATAGCTATCAGAGGGACACGACCAACTTCAACTTCTCTCACTGCCTGTCTGCTCTCATTCATCCAGTGTGACCCTGCAAAGCCAGAGGTCACGACTGGGGAATGTTACTGTTGAACGTCTCCTTAAAAAAATAGAAAAGAGAAAGGGGGAGTGGGGGCATCCGTGGTCTCTTACAGGAAAGGGAGTGACGCAAGGGAGGGCAAAGAGGCGACAAATAGTTTTGTAAGCATTGGGGTTGTTGTGTGTCTTCCTCAACAGAATGCAGCCACTAAGACATGCAGACCCTCACACATGTGTGTGTGGGTCGGTGTGCACGTGGGATCCAGTTCAAAGCACAAAGCGTTTGTACTCCTTCTTTATGGATGAAAGTGTATCTGAATGAATCCTTGTTGGAAGCTTCTGCAGCATCGTTATGATGTAATTTATCAATAAATAATGAGTAATAAATGTATTCTAAGCTATACACCGCAGAAGGGGGCTGATTGTCTCATTCACCAGCCTCGTCTAGCAGCGCTGCCAAACTTACACCCACTTCATACACACACACACACGCACACACACACACGGCCGTGCACAACAAACACACAACACGTACAAAAAGACACATCGAGAGTGAGAAAGGGAGACAGACAGAGAGGGCGAAAAATCTGGGAAGCGATGCCGTCTGCCTCCACAAGTACAGAACCTCCTACTCTATCTGTGCCCACATGGATATCTGCACACATGGCCTCTGTGTAATAGCTGCTGCCATGTTTGTTTTACTGGCACATCATACTGCACTGTATCGAAGTCTGAGAGCAGCCAAATAAAGTTTACTGGGTGAAACTGAGAATTGGTTGTTATATTAAATAAGTTGACCATATCAACATGGCGGCCATGTACCTTTGCCGCTCGGGGTGAGAAGCCTGAAAGATTTTGAAATACATTATAGGCCTACTGATCTGTCCTATAGATCACTGACAATCAATTTGTCACTTCCAGATTTGTCTGCAAATTGAAAAGCCAATGAACAGCGAATGTCTGGAGGGAAATCTGCTCATATGACCTACTGTATTAGGATAAACAACATCATGTATAACACTTGAGCCAACATTATATTACATTATTATCTATACCAAGTGAACATCATGCTAGTGGGTCATTATATACGGCATGTTCATTCACTACTATTGAAGAAAAATAACTAACTAAGATCCAGCCAATTGGGTAATTTAACTGTTAGCTAAGAAGTCTAGTTAATATTACAGAATGGTAGTTTAACATGATACATTACTGAAACTCCTAGTTAGCATAATGTTAGCTTGGAGCTGCTTGAATGCTAGCTCCAGTTTTGTCCAAAAGTAGCTGATGGGTCATGAAATATGTTGTTTTACTTTGAAAGATGTCCCTCCATATTCACTGTCAGCTAAGTTGCTTGCTATCTTGAAGAATTGTAATTACAAACAATGGTCACGTAGGCTACCCCGCCACCCACAACCTGATAAGAAAAGTGTGACAATAAACAGCTGCTGTGTGAAAAGGGGAATTTGATGAACTTTTAGTGTCATCTGAGCACCAAGTTTTGGAGTTTGTTCTTCAAGTACTTTTACTTCTCACCTTTTTTCATCAGCAAAGACAAACTTTCTCAGTTTGAGGTCACCCAGCACGATGCCATTCATGTGGCAGTGGGCCACAGCCAGAGCCACCTGCCTGAAGAGCCTGCAGGCGTGCTCTTCATCCAGCCTGCGACAGCTCTTCACCAGGGTGTGCATGTCCCCAAAGTCCTTGTCCAAGAACACGTAGGCCTTGCGTTCGCCCAGGATGATTTCCCTGATGTCAGAAACATTCTTGTGGGCTGGTAGGATCCCGTAGGATCTGATCTTTTCCTGGTACACTCCCATATCAAAGACCTGGAAGATAGAGAAAGAAGAGGAGGGAAAGGGATGCAGGATGGAAATTAGGAGGGGAGGGAAGGGAAGAAAGTGTGAGAAGGAGGAGACAATGGGTGAGTGTGTTCTTAATGATCATCAGAAGGAACAAGCATGCAAAATTTGGCATCAAATTAAAAAAGGCTAGGATAAGCTTTGATTCTAGCTCAGCCTTTAATGCATGTGCATGACAAATGAATCACTAAAGCATGAAGGGATAAACTTTATTAATCAACAAAGCCAAACGCCTGCAGGTCTTTCATGCAAAATAAATACATGGAAGTGGAACAGAGAACAGCTCCTGTCCTTATCAGAGCACATCCTTCATATGATAGTGTCTCTTTGTCTCACATGTTTGCCTTTTTGTGTATGTGTCACGGCGTGGCATATTGCAGTGACGTGTATGCAAATGAGACGGACTGCTCTGAAGGACCGTGTGAAGCCAGAGTGCCAAGGAGAGGTACGCTATTAACACATTTCAAGTCAAAGGTATAGGAGAAATCTGTCACGACTGCAAACAGATATAAAAACAATCAAAGACTCCGATATAGTTCCCGTTTTTAAAAAATCATGAAGCAAACCTCATGTTATTACGCAAATTATGACACATTTCGCGTGAGATTGAGTGAAAAAGTCGGGTAAATACTGATGACATGTCAGATAGGCTATTGAGCAACGTGCTGTCTTGAAACACCATTCATTCAGAGAAATTGCACAACGAAGAGGATTGCGCATGCATACCTTGCACAGCAGCTCATCGCCTGTGTCGGTGTTCATCGCGCTGTGCACGCTCTCCCGGTCCGCCAGAGGTAGAAGTAGAAACGGTCCTATCCTGGATGGGCCCTGGTGGGTTCCTGTGATTGGGTTTGAGACGGGGCTCACCGGGGATCCGGGTGAGGTACCGAGGAGGAGTCCCTGTGTGTCCCCGGCTTCGGCGCTCAGCCTGGCGCATTTCGCCAGCGGCTGGTCGTCTGAGTCCAGCCGCTTGTGCGCGACTCTCCCGGTGCGGATGCAAGGTGCCGGGCTGCTCCGTTGCAAGTTCATCCTCATAGATCGACTCAAAGCAAAAATCAGACCCTGACTTATTAAAGGATGAGTCCTTTGACGGCTAGAAAAAACAACAGACTCTACGCTCCATTCCTCCGTGTAAGACTAGTCATATAGCTTGATAGAACTTTTTACGCGTTTTTGGTGATTATATCCAGCCACGCGTCCTTTCCTCTTCGAGAGTGACTGCCTGCTGCTCTGAGGTCTTTGTTCTTTTGGTGAGAAAATCCCGATCCCTTACAGTCCACACTGGGAGAGATAGAGAGAGCGAGAGAGATAGAAAAAGACAGAGAGAGAGAGAGAGAGGCAGACGGGGAGAGGGACTGCCTCACACTCAGAGAGGCAGAGAGTGAGTGAGCGCCGATGATGTTGAACACTCCGCCCGACCAGTCCAGCCTCCTCCTGGTGACACAACCATTGAGCAATCCTGTAACGACACCGGCTTTGTTAGCTCAGCTCCGCTCTGATGAAACTGGCTGCTGTATTACGTTTCACAGAAGACAACGTGAGCATGTGGTGCAAACATTAGTTTGTGAATATTTGCCATGAAGCTCCATAACTTCTGCTTTGAGATTTCACTGTGGAAAAAAACCCTGACCATGTGAGAGGAATGAAGAAACCCTCTTTTACTTATCATGACTGTCTCATCAAGCATGCACATGTTTTAGACAATAATTAACAACCTTTAAAACTTCCTCTCTGAGTCACTTTTTCCACCTTGTTCAGCTTTTATTACCAACAGTTTCTCCATATATCTCCTGGATGGCACCTGAACTGTTTGCACTCCAAAAGTTCTGCCTTAAGTGTGAACTGTAGCCAGAACAGAGCTGCAGTGTGTGAGCCTTAACTCTAGCTTTAACATCCCCATGATATTTTCCCATGCTGAGCCTGTTTGTTATGTGGAGATGACTCACCCCTATAAAGCCTTAGTGGTGCTGGGCTATAAGCATTCACATAAAATATGCCAGCGTGGCGCCGAAAACAACATCATAGCAGCTGAACTCCAAGAAGGTTAAAAGTAGTTGTATAAGCGCTCCAGTAGTGTGCAATTTGTGTCAAATTTATGTAATGTTCTTCTAAAGAGTAGAGGACTGGAAATTGAAGGTTCAGGTACAGTATATTCAGTTTGACAAACATTCCTGTGATGATGCATATTGAGCTGATCTGCAGGTACTTTTGAATGTGAATCTGTCGGGAGTGTGTACACAATGTGTGTGTTGCGCAAGAGAAGTCTTTTTCCACTGCATTTTGTGGAACGGGCACAGTGGCTGCAGTAAAGGCTTACTGTTGTGTTCACTAAAACACAGAGCACCAGCTGGCCTGGGTGTCTGTATGCACCGTAACACCCCTCCAGCCAAACAGAAGGATGCCATTCCGAACCGTTTCTTTTTCCACATTTCCGACACCATTCCTTTCTTCCACAAGAGTTCACACACTCCGCCATGCAAGTCACAGCAGCCTGACTCTGAAAGGTCATGTGAACCTGTCTCTGCAGGCCGTCCAAACATGGAGGAGCTGCAGATTCCCCAGGAATGACGGCCTGTTATTTTTAGGCGTTGCATTCTTTCTTTGTGCAGTGGTCGTCCTATGAATAAGGTGACTCACTAGCTGATTGATGTGTGTGCGTCGCTGTGAGCAAGTGTGTTTGTCATGCCGTCAAGCAGGCACAAGAACAGGTTTCCTCATTGTGATAGTTAACAGAAGAGCTAGGGAAGGCCGAAAAGTTGTATTGTTATCTGACAATAGTCGCTACCTGCTGTGTCACTGCATCATAGTGATGATGCATGTTTGTTTCTAGTTTATAGGTGACACACAGTTAAGGCATACACTTGAAAAAATGACTTGTTTGTGTTGGCAGGGAGGAACACAAACTGTTGGCATGTGTGTGTCTGCATGTGTTATGACTGCGTGTTATCAGGAGTTGATACTGGACACATTACAAGGTCAGGAGGAACCTTCAGGGCTGAAAAATTAAGCCAGTGCAGAAATGCCAAAAACTGCAGTTCATCAAATGACCTCTGGAGTCTTGCTCCAAAACAGAGTCCATTTTCCATTAGGCCCCATACTACAATGCCTATCTTTACAGCAGAAATAAACATGTTTACTGTTTACCAAAACAGGATTTTGTTCTGTAAAGAATATTTATCTTAATGTGACAACAGTCCTGAGAATTAATTTTTATATAACTTGCCTGTTATAATTATATTTAACCTTAAAGGACAGCATAAATAAGGGCTTGGTTGCTTTGAGTGGCAGGTGGGATCTGATGGCTGTTTTTTAAAACAAGTTTCGTCTCTGAATTTAACCTCCAAAATATGTTTGTGTGGCTGGATCCTTTGGGAATCTTTTCCTGCAAACATGACATATAGCCTACATGTTTCACATATTATTTGATCCAAACACTGACATTGTGTATAAACAGCTGCGATTGTTTTAGTCAAATAAATAAAAAGCTATAGTCAACTCACAAATGGAATCTCATTTTGATGGTTAGTAAGCTGATCAGCCAACCAATGTATTCACCACCAGCACAGACTGTATGCTTTGATAAACAATGCCAACCTTTTGCACTCACTCTACCTGCTCCTCCAAACAGTTCATTTTTGCTTCAGCATAGCAACGACCAAAGATACCAGACTATAGGCAATATTTAACAGCAGTCCAAAAAATAAAAATAAAATGGTCACTGGATTTTGACTATGTTCTTTTCTTACACAGTCTGTGCTTACTAAATGTGATTATTCTTATGCAAGACGTTCTATTTTGGGCTGCATGTTGTAGCAGTATATAGCTTGCAGTGTGTCCCTCACAGTGTATGAGAGTGTGTTTGTGGATTGTGGCTATATCCCCATGTTAGTGAGCTGGTAGAGAAAACAGTATTCAGGGCATGCTCTCCCTTGTTATAATTAGCTGAGTCACTCACCACCAGCAGCGGGGGAAAGAGGCCGGGGAATTGATCTGCCCTGAGAATAGTTCAATCTGATCTGGCAGACAGCCAGCCATCACTGTTAATTATTCTTCATGCAAGCCGCAGAGCTGCAGAGAGCTGCAGACCTGAGACTCAGAATTGAGTCAGACTAAATAAGACTTTCTTCCCTGATTTCTGGAATCTACATGACAGTAAAATGTTGAGCAGTTTTCAAATAGCAAAATGCCAATAATCTTGAAAGGATCCTTAACACAGGCTTTATGTTTTCCTCAGTTATCTGTCTTTCTGGAGTGAATATTGTATGAAGGTGATAGATGGACATTCACATTCTCATTACTATGATATTTTCCACCAAAGCTCTTCCACTTGACACTATTAGGAAGTAGTACACCATTGTCTTTTTGTGTATGCTCTTGAAAAAACTGTTACAAGATAAAGTTCATTATGGATGTCTTTTACAGAAGGAAAAGATCTGATATTTTGATGTGAGTAAGGGACATTAGTGACATTTTTAGTCTTCACTCTATGACCCAGGAGAGATAACATGAGTGCAACTGTTAAATTCACTTTGACAGATTAACAGTAATTTCTCACAGCAGATATATATATATATATATATTTTTTTTTTAAAGATTTGTTTTTGGGCATTTTTGCCTTTATTTGAGAGATAGGACAGTGGATAGAGTTGGAAATCAGGGAGAAAGAGATCAGGGAATAACATGCGGGAAATTAGCCACAGGTCGGATCCGAACCTGGGTCGCCCGCCTGGAGGACTACAGCCTCAACGCATGGGGCGTGAGCTCTAACCACTGCGCCACCAGCGCCCCACAGCAGATATTTTTGATACAGTAGGACATCCAAAGGGGTTGCTAGTAACATTCATGATGATTCTGGATAGTTGTGTTGTAGTTCTCGTCCCCAGTGTTTCATGTCTTGTCTTTCTTTGTCTGGTTTCCCGTCTTTTTTGATTGCCCTGATTGTCTTCACCTGTGCCGGTAGTCTCACCTGTGTCTGATTAACCCAGACAAAGTTAACTCTAGTTTCTGTGTACCGTCTGTCTTGTTGTTAGATCTTACGTCTACCTGCCTGAGGTGTTGTCTCTCTTTCATATTCTGAAGTTTTCTCATACTGTTAGTTTTCTCCTGGAGTATTTTAATTTTAATGGACATTGTTTGTTTTAGGAAAGTCTGTTTTTGTTTGCCTTTTTGCCTTCTGTTTAAATAAATAGTTTTTGGTTTAGATTCTGCACTTGGGTCCTCTTCTTTGTTTTTCAACAAACCTGACAGTTGGCGTTAAATGGAGCTGAGCCTGCAATAAGCCACAGTGGTCTCATTTTCTCATATTTAACATTTCAGTGGTTTGTGTTGGAAAAAAAATGAATGGAGAGGGCCAGAAAACTCAAATGACAAATCTCTCAGAGACAGTTACTATTACTGCTAGCCGTATAGTTCCACCACTTAATTAGCTAAAGTGACCTTGTGTTGATAGTTATTATCAATAAAACCATATATGAGCAAGTAGAGTAGCTTCTTTAAATGAGCTGAATCAAATTATGTAAATATTTATGAGGGTAGTTATTGTTACTTTTTTTCAACCTATAGGAATTGGTTGATTGTAGGAATTGGTTGATCATACATCATACAAAATTATATATATATATTATATATTTCCAACATGGTTATAACTGCTGAACATTGACCCTATTCTGGGCAGCTGAAAAAAGTCTTCCTAGAATAGGAAGTACAGAAACTGAAAGCAACAGCTGTCATTTTATCATACATCTTCTTCCTCTATTAGTATGAATCTGATAGCTGCTTCTTTGTATTTCATTTTTTTGGAAAGTATAACTTGTTTTCTGTAAATGTCTTATTGTCTGCCATCACTATTGTGTCTTTGGACAGCTGACAGTATGCTGTGAATGTAGATTTCTTGTGTGGGAGAAAGGAATGGGCTGTTGGATATTCAACTGTTTGCTAGCAATAATAATGATTAAATTTGTATTTTTTTAAGACTAGATTCTGACTTTGGAACAAAAATCAGAGTCAGGTACTCCTCTATTCTACTTTATATAAATTATTTACAAAAGCTCCTAGACTCTATGAACTTCATGAACTCAAGAGCTGAGGTTTCATCCAAAATTAGTCATCAGCCCACCATAACCCCCTCTACTGAATATTCTATATTTTCACAACCCTGGCTGATCTCAAGGACAATCAATCAAACCAGGAGCAGAGATGGGGGATTGTTTCATGTGGATGGACTCCAGACCAAAGTCTGGCCAAAAATGTCCGCCTTCCTTTGCTAGTTATCCCAATCTGTCCATCACTACTTCTTTGATCTGTTGGATTGAGTCAGAGTTGGTTTGACTGGAAAAATGGATTCTGGGAAACACAAAAATGTGTGCAATTTATTAAAACCCAGATTAATACGGTACATACTTTCAATTGTCAAAATATACTTTCCTCTGATTTTAATTCACATGCCTGCTCATTGTTTGAACACACATTTACACATTTCCTGTTGATTGAAAGCATTTGTTCTCATATTGGGGAGTTGTCATGTTTGCACACACTCATCACACATACGTCTCTAAAGGTTTTCTGAGAAGTTGTAAAGTTTAAGCTGAAAACAAAATTCTTCAACTACTGTCAACATATTTGTTC